GTGTGTTTCCAGGCCAGACTTTCCATTTTCCTTTGGAAATACAGCTCGGATCTGGGTGGGGTGGGGGGCTGTGGGAGCTGGTCACTGAAACCCTGTAGCAAGTCAAGCTGCGGAGTCAAAGTCAATCCCACTAGTGAATAACTGCTCCAGAGTGGTCCACTAAAACCATCAGTATTCTGTCATATCTCCCACTACCAGGTTTTGACACAGAGGGAGTCAACTGCCAAGCACCATGATGGTTTGGGGAGGCATTTCCTGGAACACAAAACGTCCGTACTAGAAGGGTCTTTGGTGGTCTTCCGCAAGCTTTCTTTTTGAAGAAGAGGCAGTACGTGCCCCTGAGAGGTCACAACAGCCTGGCCCCAGAGCTAATGGCAAAGCCAGAAAGAGACACCAGTGCTCTGCCCGTGACCTCCTCTCCTGATGTCACCTCCTACATACTCTATGCCGCTGCTAAGTCTTGCCGAGAAACTTCATAGGCTATCACACTGACTATAGGGCTGTGTGTGTATGTGTACACATATGTTGGGTTGGCTGAAAAATTAGTTCTGGTTTTTCCATAACATCTCATGGGGAAACCCAAATGAACTTTTTGGCCAACCTATTTTTCCTCCCATTCACTTTGTAAGCTACCTGTGATGACTGAAATAAATACTAAATGGCAGACATGCACTTATCCCAGCCCCTGCCTATGCATGCATACGTGTGCCCTCGTTGCACACACACTCTGAACCAGTCGGGGGAGAGACACGTCCCTCTTGTCTCACTTCATTTACTCCAGGTGAGGGACCACTGCCATACTTCCCACTTCTGACTCCGAAGAGCTGGAACTCGACCAGCACTCACATCACACTCCATCAGCAAATCAACCCCAAACATGGCGTCTCTCCCAAGACCCGGGAGTGGAAAGCCCCTGGGCAAGAGTTCCCCAACTCCGGTGAGGCGTGAGTGCTGGGTTCTCCCCAGCCTCTGCACTGTTCCCCCAACCCCCACATCCACCCACCGAACACAGCTCTCAACAACAGTGCAGGCATCGGTAGGTCCACCCCCAGTAGAGCTCAGTCCACTGTTCTGAACTGTACATGCAGCAAGATATTGGGAAGTGTCATCCGATGCCTTCATCACACTGGGTCATCTTGGCCGTCTGTTCTTTAGGGAGAGGGTGGGACCCACACATGAGGGATCAATGTTTAACTGGTAAGTTCCAAAATAATGCCATTTCAGTTGTGAGATGGTGTAGACGCTGAGGCTTTCGGGCTTTCATGCCTGAGCCAGGTAGGCTTTTATGAGATTTGAAGTTGGGGTGGGGAGACTTCTGGGTTCCAAGGAACCAGAGGTTGAAGAACTCGGAGCACAGAGATTTGTCTTATAAGCGTGGGGAGGGAGGGACTGTTTCTTGCCACCAGAGAAGAGACAAGAGCACTTCCTGGAGTCAGGGAAGAGGTAGAAGAAGAGGGCAGTTTGAAAAGGCTGAGATGCTTCCTGATCCCACCCTGGGGTGGGGGTCTTGTCCCCACTTCCCACTGGAACTGTAGAAGGTAGGCTTCAAAGAGCTCTAGACTTGGGGAGTGTTGAGCACAGTGGAAATGGTGGGTGGTGTAATTAAACAGGGGCTTCCCCTGTGGCTCAGTGGTAAAGAATCTCCCTGCAATGCAGGAAATGTGGGTTCGATCCCTGAGGCCAGAAGATCCCAGAAGATCCCCTGGAGTGGGAATGGCAACCCACTCCAGTATTCTTGCCTGGAGAATCCCCATGGACAGAGGAGCCTGGAGGGATACAGTCAATAGGGTCACAAAGAGTCAGACACAAGTGAAGCCACTGAGCACCCTCACATGTAATTAAACAGAGAGGGTGCCTGAGGGAGTCACCTGGGCTCCCCATGCACTGTGAACACATCTCCTCAAGACCAGCAGGAAGTGAGGAAGTGCTGAGGGGGCATCTGGACCAGAGATGACCCCGGGGTGGGTGCACAGGCTCCCAGTGCAGAGGTCCAGTAACCCAAGGGCAAAGCCTTGGGCCCCTGACCCAGGCCCGGACCTGGTGTGATAAATCTCCTCTGTGGAAGCAGTTAAGACCCCAACAAGCTTCCCCACCCATCACCGTGATGTTCCCCAAACACCCCCTGTACCCAGGGAACATCTTGAGGGTACAGAAGGAGGTAGGAGAGAGTGTTGGAGGAAAAACCAATAGCCCTGGCAGGAAATTTTAGCTGAACTGACCAGGTTTAAATCCTGAATCGAACAAGCAATAAATGGACAGTCTGAACTTTCTATTGGAAGAGACCAAGTTACCTTGAAATGGCCAGATTACGTTTTTTTCCACCATTAGAAGAAATGGAAAAAAGATTAATTTTTTTTTCTTTTGGCCAACAGTAGAAATGGAAAAAAGATTAAGTTGTTTCCGCCATCGGTCTGAAGAAAGGCTCAAGAGCAAGTTCGGTTAAAGAGGAATTGAGTTTGTGCTCACTCCGTGACAGTGTGTGAACTTTCCCTCTGCACAAAAGACAGGGCAGCGTCACCACAGATGGGACGCTGGAAGTGAAGGCAGGAGAGGTGACATGTGCTCACAGTGGGATCTTTTCAAACTGGCCGTGCTTGGCGCAGGCGTGTGCAAGGAGCCTGAGCGCCCGGCGCCCAAGGATAAGCTGCACCTCTTCCCAGATCTTCCCCGAAGAAAGGAGGGGTCCCACCCAGCACTGTGTCTTTGCTGAACACCCACCCCCCTTTCCCCTGGGACCTTCCGCCACCACCTCCCTGTATAAGCTTTCTCGTGCATGGTGCTTGGCACCTGAACCCGCTGAGAATCTGTACGCGTGAGCTCCTGGCAGCCGAAGCCCCTCCAGTGAGGAGGCGGCCTCCTCCCGCCCTGGCCGGGGAGCCTGTGTTTATTTTCTCTCACTCCTGAGGCCTGGCTTCACGTAATGTGAGAGAAGAGGTGGGGAAAACACAGTCTCTTCCTTGTTAAGGCTCTGAAACAAAGATTATTTTAACAGAGAGAAGGGAGTGTCCCTATTGAATATTTATTATTCAAGCTCTATTCCACACCATTAGGGAGTAAAAAAAGAGACCCAACCACAAGAATTTTAAGGAAGGTGGTCAGTCAGTCAGTGCTGCGGCGGCAACATGCAACAGGTCGGGAAATTGTGTTCTCTCTAAAAGAAATTTCACTCCCTTCTGGGCAATAATGTGGCCTGGCTTCTGACAATATTTGGTCCCCTCTTGTTTTAACGGAAGGAAGATTCTCTGGAGGCTCTTCTCTGACTCCAGTTTTTATCTCCCCAAGTCCGTGCTGCAAAGGGCTGCTCACGTGAACAGAACTGCCAGGCACATTTTATTCTAGTAGCCACAGTCCCACAATGAATACTACAGTCCTGGCCAGCTAGAGGGATAGAAGACTAACCCTCAGTTTTCAGTATTTACCATCTGCCTGAAAACATTCTAAGTGCCTACGAGCAGATTTAATTCTCAGAGGAGCCCTTTGATGAGGCACCATTTGTCACTGCTGTTGTTCAGTAGCTCAGTCCTGTCTGACTCTTTGTGACCCCGTGGACTGCAGCCCACCAGGTTCCTCTATGGATTTCCCAGGCCAGAATACTGGAGTGGGTTGCCATTTCCTCCTCCAGGGGATCTTCCCAACCCAGGGGTCGAACCTGCGTCTCCCACACTGGCAGGCGGATTCTTTACTGCTGAGTCACCTGGGGAGCCGGAGGTACTATTATGTCCCCCAATGTGATGGAGAGAGAAATGGGGGTTCCAAGCATTTAAGCAGCAGTGCTGAGATCTGACCTCCATCTAGGTCCAGAGTCTGAGCTCGTGATCACCGTGGCATGCACCCACTCTGAACATCACTGGATGGTGAGTTTATGCCCACTAGGTTTCCGAGCCAACTGCAGTCAATGGGGCGGTCCATCAGCTGGTTGGAAAGAGCCATGGGTCCTCAGCAGGGCGGGCTCCTGGAGCTCCCAGGCCTGGGATGCTCTTCAAGAGTGCTCTCCACCTTAATCCTTCTCTGATCCCAGAAGGTCTGCCCACATCCCACCCCGCCCTGCTAGTCACTGGAGGGATGCCCTTCAGCGCCTTACTCCCTGGGCAGCTTCAAAGTGAGCAGCTCAGGCTTCAATCAAAAATACCATTAAGTCCCCATACATACAAACGAGTTCCATTCCGAGAGTGAATTTGTAAGTCCAGTCTGTTCGTTAAGTCCAACAAAGTTAGCCTAGCTAACCAACTAACTAGTTGGCTATATACTGCTGCTTTTACGCTTGCTTCTGGACATCCTGGGCTTGAAATAAAGACACTGCACTACTGTCCTCTATACAGAACTGTACGGTAAAGTACACACAAGCATGCACATAGAGGACGCATGCATGTGACAATGTATGCCAGACATGAGAAGTAACTTGTGATAGCTTTGATTGGAAATGCGAACATTCACATCTTGGAAAGTTCCCTACTTGAAGGTTCATATGTATCAGACTTAAGAGTAACAAGCAAATAAAAATGGGTGTCTATTTCAGGAGGTGGGTTAGACCCCAGGGTGGAGCTGGTGTGCTGGCGTCTCTGCAGCCCGGCCACCTCATGTACTCCCTCCCTCTCTCTCTGCCACCAGCCAGGACCTGGGAGCCTGTTGTCGAAAATATACTTCTCGCCCTGACTTTGAAGAAGATCAAGGAGGAAGCAGAAGTGGTAAGAGGGGCAGGGACATCCTTCTCTCTGTGACACTAAAAGGCACAGCTCTTTCGTTGTCCTTGAACTTGCCATATTTTCAGATCACCCAAGGAACCCACTGCACTCTCATCTCCTCTGGTGGCCCTGACTGTGGGGATTTCATTACCTGGAAGCACTGGTCAGAGCATCACAATCGAAAGGCAAGCGACAACCCCCACTCCTACTTTGTGGTGAGCGGGGAAGGGGATGGAGAGAGAAGTAAAATTCACACACCTGCTGTCAACATGCGTGCCTGTCAATGTACAAGGTACAGAGTCTACAGAAGCTACTGACCTGAGGAGGGCTCTTTGTCTTTTAGTAAATGCCCCAAACCGCTGTGCCTTTTAGAGATTTTGTTCCTGCTCTTTATAGTGTTTCTCTTGCCTCTCTTGTCATCAGGCTGCGACCTGTCACTTTTTCCTGCCGACAGTGGGCCTTCCCGGAGCAGTCCCCCAGGCCTTTCTAATCTGCTCCTTGCAGTCTGCTGTAGGCTGGGAAATCAGATAAGCAGTTATGAAACATTAACAACTGCTGTGTCCTGGGCGCTTACACTATGTGTAAGAGGTGCCCAGTACCTCTTATTTACAGGGTCTGATATAATCCTCAGAATAAGCCCCTGCAGGTAAGGTGAGAATTCCTAGTCTTTTGATGACAGAATTCTGACTGAGAGGGACAGAGTGAAAGCCGGGACTTGGGCCTTCCTCTGAAAGGCAGGTGACACCTGTCCTGGCTGGGTGAGCCTGTGTTCTGCTCACCTCCTGGTCTCAAGTCTGGAATGCAGAGGTGTCTGCATATGACTTCTGCTACCCATGGGGAGAGAGGAAGGTACCTGACAGCAGGTAGAATGGGCAGCCAGTTAGGAGGAGTAGTCAGCCACCCAGAGACTCACTGCACCCATACCATCTAACTAGAGAGTTCATCTCTTAATGGGTTGGGCCAAAAAAGGACTTGGAACTTTCAAGTCTGTTTCTGCTTCAGACTCAATGACTGAGTGTGTACCCTGGGCCAGGCACCATCTCTCTTGAATTAGAACCAGCATATCTGGTTCAAGCTCCCTTCAAAAGTTGTCATTTTTTTCTTGATCAAAAATCTCAAGCTCTGGTAGCAAACATTTTTTTGAAGTTAACACTTTTGCTTGAGCTGACCCAGATACAGCATTGGTATATAACTCTGACGAATACTACAAAACCCATTTTTGTTCAACATCTGAAAAGGACTATTTTCATTCATTTGATAAGACCATATGAGACAGACAGTTTAGATCCCTGGGTTCTAGCTCTGGGTGAGGTCACCTCTGGACCCTGGTTTCCTTACTTGCAAATTTTACGTATAGATCTATGGCTAATGTCATGGACAGAATGTCTGAGTGCCCCCAGTATTCAGATGTTGAAATCCTAATCCCCAAAGTGGTGGTATTACCAGGTGGGGATGTTGGGGGATGACAAGGTCATGAGGGCAGAGCCCTCGTGAATGGCATTAGTGCTACCAGGGACAGACACGACGAGAAGACAGCCATCTGCAAACCAGGAGGGGGTCCCTCACCCGACAACGAGTCTGCCGGCACCTTGATCTTGAACTTCCCAGACTCTGAAACTGTGAGAAATAAATGTTGGTTGTTTTAAGCCACTTGATCTAGTATTTGTTATAGCAGCTCGAGCTAAGACAGTTAAGTCGTAAACTAGTGAGTAAGGTCTAGTAAAGGTTTATGAACAATCTAGAAAGAAGAACTCTGTATTTATCCATAGGAGATGTAATTTGTTAAAATAACTTGTCAGTGGAACTCAAGCTTAATTATTATAATCTATAAAAATAAGCACCTGTAATTTGTTTTTACCTTAATACCAATCCTCTACCACTCACACAGATTACAGGAGATGGATTTAACTAGCGAGGTTTGTGCCCTCCTCCCTTCATTAACAAAGCTTTCCCTTGTGTACCAAGATGACTTGCACAGACTTCTCGGAAGCTGTGGCCCATCATTTAGCAAAGTTTCCTGGGAGGTGAGCCCTCTTCTACAACCAGGCCCAGGGCGTGTGGGTTGCCTTTGCCACTCTGAGTTAAGGGAAGGAGAAGATGAACAGCAGCCTTAATCAGAGGTGGCTTCCTGGCCACTGGCAGGGGGATCAGCTTGCAGACAGTGTTTTGCTTGGCCAGCTCCTTGCTTTGTACAGTGTGGATTACTTGCCAGTATTTAAAAATCAGGAGATTGCACATAAATATGTGATTTCTGGCTTCTCGTGGAAAAATCCTAAGGGCTGGCTATCCTCGGTCCACATTCTCGGGCAACAGGCAGCTGCAGTTGGGACAGGGTGAGTATGTACTCTATCCGCTACAGGCTCCTCTGTCTGTGGTGCTCCTGACTTGGAGGCCTGCAGTCAGACATCACCGGCCTCGCTGTTTTCTTGTTGTTGTTGTTTAGCTGCTCAGTGGCATCCGACTCTTTGTGACCCCATGGACTGTAGCCCACCAGGCTCCTCTTTCTCCCGGGCAAGAATATCAAAGTGGGTTGCCATTCCCTTCTCCAGAGGACCTTCCCAATCCAGGGATCGAACCCATGTCTGCTGCATTGGCAGGCAAATCCTTTACCACTGAGCCACCTGGGAAGACTTTCCCACAATCTGGCATCATGATTTGCATCTGAGGCCACACCCACTCAACAACTCCAGAGGGGGTGTCACCCATGTGGATTCAAACACAAGGTCCTCTGGAACTGTGCTGCATGGCCGCCCTGTTTGTAATCCTTGGAGACTGACTTCACTTGACTATTTTTTTAAAACATAAGTATATACATGAATATTTAGATAACATTATTTTAAGTTTTAGCTTAAAGACCAAGCATATCATTGTAGAATATATGCTAAGATTTTAAAATATGCATCTGAGATAATAGAACTATTTCAGCCAAGGAGTATTAAAATTTTGACAACTAAATTGGAAATTATGTCCAACCGGCTTTTCAAAAACTCTTTTTACAGACTATTTAGCAGAGTTACAGGAAACCATCCCCTGCAGCAAGAAAACCTTTCCCTCTGAAGCTTTCTTGAGATAAAGAATAAAAAAAGGACCCTTCCCCCTTTCTCGCATCAGTGCCTATTGATCAAAAAGAGTAATCAGAGCTCACACTTTAATTTTTAATAGTATTTTTTAAAATACAGAAATACAGAAATGTTCAATCTGTGCACTTTGCAAATTTTCAAGAATGCTGAGTACTCATAAAAGATAAATTTTGAAGCCACAGAATTTAGAGCTGGAAAAGAAACCTGGAACATATTGTGTCCAATCACTTCATTTAGGAAAGAGTATAAGTCAGTCCAGAGATGTTAAGAAACTCTCCCAAAGTCACACAGCAAATAAGTGCCAGAATTCTGAATTCCAACATGAGACTCCCGTTTTTTGCTTATATCTCTTTGTCTATAACTCTGACTCTGAACCACTACTGATAATATACAGACATGGAGATTGCAGGCAGGCTGATGGCAAGGGAAAAAAAGACCAAGGAAAGAGTGGGAGGGACAGGAAAGAAAGAGTAAAAAAGCATCTACTGACCGAGCAATCACTGTTGTCACCGCTGTGTGAAATTTTAATTTCCTCTTTGGAAATTCAGGTTAAAAATACATCCATTTCTATTTGCAGAGTCCTCGTCTTCTTTAAGTTTCACACTTCACACTTTACTTCTGAATAAATGTTTATTTTCTAATGTAATCCTAGAGATTTCACTCCAATGAGGGGAAGGACTTAAGCCCTAGACATTACATCCGAGCCCCCTAAGAAGTGTCAAGGAATTTATAAAAAGTCTCTTTATACCCAAAGGGAGTTAGAATGTCTTAATATACATCATTTGAGAGGTTTATTTCACCTCGCTCTGAAATGCCTGGAGCACATGTTTGAAACCCACACTTGTTCACTCATCTCTGCCTTCCACATTCTTAACGTCAGTCTGTTTGGCCCATATTAACCCTCAGTTGTGATTATACAAAGTGGCGCCCTCTTTAAGAACAGCAGTGCAAAAGAAAACCTCCGTAGGGACTTCCCTGGTGGCACAGTGGATAAGAACCCACCTGCCAATGCAGGGGACACAGGTTCAATCCCTGATCCAGGAAGATCCCACATGCCCGCCGGGCAACTAAGCCCATGCACCATGACTTCTGAGCCTGTGCTCTAGAGCCCAGGCACCACAACTACTGAAGCCCTCACACCTAGAGCCCATGCTCCGCAACAAGAGAAGCTATCGCAATGAGAAGCCCATGTACCACAACTAAAGAAAGCCCGCTTGCAGCAATGAAGCCAGCACAGCCAAAAATTAAAACATAAATAAAATTAGAAAAAAGGCCTTCATAAATAAGTGAGTTGATTAAAAAATGTACAATAGCCTCTGTTCTCTAGTCTTTACATTTAGAATTCAGCAAGGTAGGGAAGATGCCTAAGCACAGGTCACAAGTTCCTTTACTATTTTCCTGAAAACCAAGGGTTTTCTGGGAACGACCCAGGCACACATTTTAGCGCGAAGACTTTTCTTGGCCTCCCTTTCTCTTTGGGGACAAGGAGGCAGCATACTCCGATGAAGCCTCATGACCCCACACTCGGGGGCTTGGACAGGCAGCGGTTTTTCCTCGCCAGAGCCTAAACTTGGATTTTGTCTGCAATCCATCATTTCAAGATGTGATTTCCACCACCACCCCCCTCTCCCTTTTTGGCTCACTTTATTCATTCTCTTAAGTACCTAGAAACCATATTATCAAAGATTCCATCTCAGTCCCACCATGGATTCAGCCTAATTGATCTACGTCCTTTCATCTCCCCCCACCTCTTTTTTTTTTTTTCTTTAGAAATAAGAAATGATGAAGAAAATGTTCTTGGAATTCATTTCTGGCAGAGTCCTAGGAGCTTTGCTTTAAATTGTTAGTGAAATGCTTGACATTTTTCCTTCACTTTATAAACATTATGTGCAAATCATTCAGAATCCTAATGGAAAGTAATTTCCCATTAATGCCGGCTATAAAATGCCATTTTCTTTTGAAACTGTGCCTTAGAGACAAACAGTACAGGACCCCTTCACACTCGCAAATTCTACCCACCAGTCAACAAAGAAGCCCAGGGCTGGGGTTGGGGACTAAAGTAGACACAGATGTTACACGGTGGCATGGCATGCAATGTGCTGTAACGGAGAATCCAGTTGTGGACACTGAGCCTTCCTGAAAGCCATCTTCTACACATCTGTGATCTCTGGCTGACCATCACCCAGCTAACAACTTAATCTGCCTGGGGACTGAGCTACTGGCCAAGAAGGAGGGGACATAGTACTACATGCACAGTCTGGATGAGGAAGCCAAGGAACGGACTGTCCTATCACTGGTTTCTTCTTCCAAGTCAGATGCATACAACAGACTCCCTTTGCAACCACTTGCTGGCCCTATTCCCTCCGATCAAGAATCTTGGAAAGAAATCTTTCCTGATGCTCTTGAACGTTTGCTGACATTCCTCAGTATTATTTCTTAACGAGATAAAATGAAAAATCTGTAAGATGTAGAACTACATATGACTCAGCAACCACACTCATGGGCATATATCCAGAAAGAACCATAATCCCAAAAGACACATGCACCCCAATGTTCACTGCAGCACTATTTACAGTAGCCAGGACATGGAAGCAACCTAGATGTCCATGAACAGATGAATGGATAAAGAAGTTGAGGTATGTATAGATAATGGATTATCACTTGGCCATATAAAGGAACAAAACTGTGCCATTTGCAGAGACATGAATGGACCCAGAGAATGTCATACAGAGTGAATTAAGTCAGAAAAAGAGAAGAACAGATATTGTATATTAATGCATATATGTGGAATTTAGAAAAATGTTAGAGATGAACCTATATGCAAAGCAGAAATAGAGACACATAGAGAACAACGTACAGACACCAAGGGAGGAAGGCAGGAGTGGGATGAATTGGGAGACTGGGATTGACATATACACTCTACTATGTATAAAATAGACAATTAATGAGAACATACTGTATGGCACTGAGAAAACTACTTAACGTTCTGTGGCGACCTACATGGGAAGGAAATTTTTTAAAAAGGTGGGGGGACGCTTGTATACATATGGTCGATTCACTTTGCTTACAACAGAAACTAACACAGCATTTTAAAACAACTGTACTCAGTTGTGTCCAACTCTTTGTGACCCCATAGACTGTAGCCTGTCCATGGGATTTCCCAGGCAAGAATACTGGAGTCGGTTGCCATTCCCTTCTCCAGGGAATCTTCCCAACCTAGGGATCGAACACGCATCTCCAGTGTCTCCTGCACTGATAGATGAATTCTTTACCCCTGAGCCATTTGGGAAGCCCTTTTGGGGCTCCAGGGTCTGCTGATTCTAATTCATTCAGATATAATACAGGGAGGAAGGCAGGCTGGGGTTGGACTTGCTTTCAAAGTTTTTAGTTATATTTATAACCAGCTTCTTTCTAACAGAAATTTTGAAATGGCTCACAATAACATATCAGAAGAGAGGTTTCACAGACCAGAAAGAGAAAAGTAAAGCCATAAAAAATTAAGGAAACAATGTATTTTCATACAAACAACAGAACTTG